TGGCCAGGCCCGACAGACCTGGGTCTGTAACATGATTCTGATGCTGCTGTGAGATCTTAGAGCCTCTGTGTCTTCAGCCACAAAATGAAGAAGGTGCTGGTGTCCATCTCCTGGGTGGATTATGAAGGTGGAATGAAATAGTGCCAGGATTTAGCACTTTTTTTTTTCTTAGGATTTTATTATTTGAAAGGCAGAGTTACAGAGAGGCAGAGGCAGAGAGAGAGAGACGTCTTCCATCCGCTGGTTCACTCCCCAAATGGCTGCACGGCCAGGGTTGGGCCGGACCAAAGCCAGGAGCCAGGAGCTTCATCCACGACTCCCACATGGGTGCAGGGGCCCAAACACTTGGGCCATCTTCTGCTGCTTTCCTAAATGCATTAGCAGGGAGCTGGAAAGGCAATGGTGGAGCTGGGACTCTAACTGGCGCCGAGATGGGATGCTGGCACTGTGGGTGGCAGCTTAAACAGCCCCAAGGACTGAGCATTTCAGTTCTTGTAATTGTTGTGATTGTAAACTTTCTGGGTTTCCCAAGTTTAGAATCCAGGATGTGGTGAAGGCAGGAAGGTGAGGGGGCTTGGGTGGTAAAACATTTTTAGGCATTTCTGAAGTTTGTCCTAGAGCTTGTGGTCTAGGGCAGAGGTTCCAACATTGAGCTTGCTGTCAGAACCACCTGGAGGGTTGTGAAACAGAGAGCTGAGCCCTACCACCAGAGTTTCTGTCCTGGGGCTGGGTGGGGCTCAGCAGCTTGTACTTTTCATCACCTAGTTCGTAGATGGTGCTGATGCTTCTGATTCTGAAAAGGCTCAGCTTAGGTGGAAGAGGAGGCAGACAGAATGAAGAGCGGTGGGGTGCCAGTTACAGAAAAGTAGATTTTCATTCACTGCAGAACTTCCACTGCTGTTGTGGACAGAAGCAGGTGGAGGTCTCAGGGACTCCCTGCCTTTGCAGGCGTCCAGTGCAGAGTGGCCGTCTGGCAGAGTCCTACACCAGGGAGAAGGTTCATTCATTTACACATCCATCCACTTATTCACTTATTATATTAATGTGCTCCCTGCCTAGGAGGTTCTGGGAGACACAGAGGGAAGCTTTGATAGACAACGGTGGTTCCCGCCCCCAGGGCTTCCCAGTCTCTTGAGTCTGACTCCCTCATTTCCAGGGTCCCTTTCAGCACTGGGACTCTAAGAGTCCTGTGATGATGTGAGCAGTTCCCCAGAGTGAGAAGCTGCAGAAAGATTCTTATTTTCAGAAGATGCGGCGGAGGACCGACAGGCATGGGACACATCCCATGCTCGATTTGGACTGCTTTTTTTTGGAGCATCTTGCAGTCACTGGATGAACAGTTTTCCCCCACACTAAGACTCAGAAGAGGCTGAGAATGTAGCAAGAGTGCATTTCCTGGGGGGCAAGCATGCCTCTCTTCACGGACACCCTGAAAGGACCATTAAACTCTGAACCCCTGACCAGCTCTCCATTATGCAGGCTCTGAAAGCAGACCCAGGAAACAGCCACATGAATGAGCTCATTGCTTTCTATCACTTCTCTCAAGCGAGGTACTGGAGAGTTAATGGCTGGGAGGAATATATATAGAGAGAAACAGGTAGATTTTATCAGTTTTTCTGGGTTCTTCCATCAGAGTCTCTGTTGAAAGTAATTATAATCCCCTACTTTTACCAAGCTCCACTCTGTGCCAGGCATAGTGTTAAACCTGCTACAGGTGCTACTGTGTTCTGTGGCTCTCACAACAGCCCATGAAGTGGGTATATTAACCTCATTTTTGCAGAAGAGAAAACAAAGCTTCATAGAAGTTGAGTAACTCACTTAGGGTCATAGAGACAGAAAATGTCAGAGCTGGAATGAAAACCTCAGTCTTCCAGACTCCAGACTGTGATCCAGGATCCTGGAAGGTGGAACTGCTCCTTCCTTCCTTCCTTCCTTCCTTCCTTCCTTCCTTCCTTCCTTCCTTCCTTCCTTCCTTCCTTCCGTTGTTAAGTAGTTCTTTAACTGAACAGATGTAAAACACTGATACCTACTTGTGAGCAACACTCAGAGAACTGATATTTGATCTCCCTTGGGCAAATGGGTCACTCCTCCTTCTGGCCTAGGGCTGGTTAGATGCTGAAGAGAGGGGCTGGCATTGTGGACAGCAGGTTAAGCCAAAGCATGCAACACAAGCATTCAATACTAGGGTCTGTTAGAGTCCTAGCTGCTCCACTTCCAACCCACTCCCTGTTGATGAGACTGGGAAAGCAGCAGAGGGTGGCTTGAGTGCTTGGGCCCCTGATAGCCACGTGGGAGACCTGGAGACCTGGATGAACCTCCTGGCTCCTGACTTCAGCCTAGCCCAGCCCTGGCCATTGCAGCTGTTTAGGAAGTGAACCAGCTGATGGAAGATTCACTTTGTCTCTCCATAGCTCTGCCTTTCAAATTAATCATTAAATCTTTAAAAAACAAACAAACAAAAAGATGCTAAAGAGACTGAAAGGACTGAAAGACAGATTCTGGCACATTAGTTCCTGACACACAGTTTCCACAACAATGTCAGTCTGTGTGTGAACTAGGTTCTGTGTATTGCATAATGAGATTTTTTCATTTCTCTGTTGGCTTTCTCTTCTACTTGTGCAAGGCTGGATGTTGAAGGCTTTGACAAAGGACAAGAGACAATTTTGTGACATTTGCCTCCTAACTGCTCTGTGGGGAGTCCCAGAACTCTACAGAGCCTCTGCGGTGACCCTTTCTTGATGGGAAATGTCCCCTCTTCCAAAACCAGGGTTATCCCTGAAGGTTCTTTTGGCTTTCTGTGCTAGCCTCCACCCACATTTTCTTCTTCTTAAAAGCAATTTTAAGTTAACTTTTAAGTTTTCAAAATAAATATATGATAATGAATTTGTAAAATGAACCAATTTCAGAAATATGTAATATGTGAATATCTTCTGGAATCCCCTGAGATGATCACCATTATCAATGGGCCTCTGCTTCTCCAGTGATTTTTTTTTTTTTACAGGCAGAGTTAGACAGAGAGAGAGAGAGAGAGAGAGAGAGAGAGGTCTTCCTTTTTCCGTTGGTTCACCCACAAATGGCTGCTACGGCCAGCAAGCTGTGCTGATCATGAAGTCAGGAGCCAGGTGCTTCCTCCTGGTCTCCCATGCGGGTGCAGGGCCCAAGCACTTGGGCCATCCTCCACTGCCTTCCTGGGCCACAGCAGAGAGCTGGACTGGAAGAGGAGCAACCAGGACAGAATCCGGTGCCCCAACCAGGACTAGAAGGCAGGGTGCCGGCGCCACAGGCGGAGGATTAGCCTAGTGAGCCACGGTGCAGCCTCTCCAGTGATTTTTCAACAAGATTTATTTATTTATTTGAAAGGCAGAGTTACAGAGAAGCAGAGGCAGAGAGTGAGGTCTTCCATCTGCTGGTTCACTCCCCAAATGGCCGCAACGGCTGGAGCTGTGCCGATTCGAAGCCAGGAGCTAGGAACTTTTTCCAGATCTCCCACATGAGTGCAGGGACCCAAGGACTTGGGCCATCTTCTACTGCTTTCCCAGGCTATGGCAGAGAGCTGGATTTTAAGTGGAACAGCTGGGGCTCGAACCGGTGCCCATATGGGATGCCAGCACTGTAGACAGTGGCTTTACCTGCTACACCACAGTGCTGGCCTTTCTCCAATGATTTTTAATCCTTGTGATAGCATGTGCCCTTATTAGTTTTTCACTAAAATGAATTTTAAAGTGCATATTTTTTTCTGAATTGCTCTTTCTAACACCATTTTTGGACATCTTTCCATATTAGGAAACACATAGCCACATCTTTCTTTCTTTGTCAGACTTCAATTTCTAAAAATGTCTTCCATTAGAAACTTTTTTGCTTCCCAGCCTCAACTTCTATTGATCAATTTGCTTTTAATGTGGCTGCACAGTTGAAACATCCACGTGGCCCTTCTATTCTTTCTTTTTAACTTTTAGAGAAATTCTAGTATCCTTGTTTGATGTCCCCTGGACTTCGGTGAGGGATTCCTAACTTCAGCTTCAAAGGGTCTGTGACAATAGAGAAACCAATGTCTGAGTTTAGAGAAAAAGCAGTTAATTGGAAGGGTGATGTGAGAACTACAGGTCTCGGAAAATCTGAACCAAGAGGTCTCAGAAGCGACAGAAGGGTTGCTTCCACTCATTCAGACCTTGTACCTTCACTCCATTGGTTTAGCTTGACCCAAGAGCCATCCTTAGCTAGGGCCAAGTGAAACAGCTTGATTGAGTCTCGCTGGAACACATGGCAGGGAAGAAATTATTCCCTTAAGGAAAAATCTGTGTGCTGGTACCAAGGATTTGTGCATGCCGCGCTGCCCAGTTCAGTCACAATAGGGTGCATAGATCCTAGGAAATTTCATGTCTGAGCTTGCATGTATGTTTTCCCAGGATGCAAGAAAGAAGTTAAAAACATTGCTCTAGTTCTGCCATCTCCTTTTGGTTGGAGTAATGACCCCAGTGATTATAAAATTAATAACAATAACAGTGGACTTTGTGGCACGGTGGGTTAAGCTACTACTTGTAATGCCCACAGTGCTGGTTTGAGTCGTGGCTCTTTGGCTTCTGATCTAGTTTCCGGCTAATCCACATGGGAAGTCAATGGATGATGACCTAAATGCTTGGACCCCTGCCACACAGATGGAGTTCCTGGCTCCTGGTTTTGGCCTGGCCCGATCCTAGCTGTTGTGGACATTTTGGGAGTGAACCAGCACATGAAAAATCTCTTTCTCTCTTTCTTAGGCATTCTGCCTTTCAAATAAATAAATCAATCTTTAAAAATAAATAAAATGAATAACAAGCTTACTCTTGTTTTTCTTTTTGTTCCTGAGCCTCTTATAACTACCCCATTTCTTCTGAATGGAGGTGCTTGGGGTAGTCCTGCCTGGTTCAGTAAAAATCCCTGTTTTCAGGACACTGTTTGCAGGACAATGAAGCCTATCAACTGAAAATACAAATGTCTTTTTTATTTTAAATTCTTTATAGGCACCTTTTTGCTCCAGCCTACACAGAGACCCACTATACTCCAAGTGGCGATCCTCAAACCACGACGCTGAAATCTGAGGTAAGCTGGGGTCAACACATGTCTATTCCGCAGCTGCCCTGTCCCGGTACCCAAGCCTGGAACCAGGAGTGGGTGATGCAGTTGGGCCTTCCTTTGAAGGGGATGATTCTCCTGACGGGAGACCCAGGGAGTCAACAAGAGAAGCTAAACGTGCATTTGTGTTTTCATAAGTGCTCCTTCTCCTTTGCTGGTTAAAATGGCTAAAGAAACAAATAATATAAACAAAATAATATTTTAGGGTAAATTACATCTGATTAAAATTGGTATAAGTCATCATGGAATATATATTTTCTTTGCTTTATGTTAATTGTCTACATGTGAACAAAACTTGAAGTAAAATAAATGATTTACCCATAATCACTCAATTCAATGTTTGATCAGTACCCCCCCACACACCATGATTTTTTTTTTTTTTTGTATAAGGTTTACAGAGTTGTCACCATGCATACAAATTCTGTAGTCTGCCTTTTTTAGATGATTTTAGGTGATGGAAGTTTTCTGATTTTGTTGCTATCTTCATATTGGACATGAAGTTGTTTCTGAGTAGGAATGTTTGCTCACTGTCAAAGATTTGTCATCGAGGCAATGGTCTTTCAGATGTATACGTATTAGTTTGCTTCTCCACACCACACTTGGGACATTTAAGGTAGTGAATCATACATGTTTCATGGTGTTTGTACCCCTTTCTGTCAAGATCCCTATTAGAATTTAGTTATAGGTTCAGAGCACTGATTGTCAGCCAGGAGCTACTCCCCAAGGTGCCCACACCCCTGCCGCCCACAGGGGCCGCTTGGCAATGTTTGGAGACAGCTTTGATTATGAGGGGATGCTGTGGGAGAGCAGCCAAGGATGCCGCTGTACATCCTACCGTTCACAGGACAGATCGTCCATGGCAGAGAATTAGGCTGGCCCAAGTGTCAGTTGTATCCGAGTTGAGAGGCCCTGGATGAGCGAGGCCCTGCTCAGTCTCAGCTGGTGAGAGGGGGTGACGGTGAAACAGAGACACAGGCAGGTGAAGCAGGGGTCTTCGGCCTTTGGGTCAGGGCACGATGGGCTTCCAGGACATGCAAAGCTGGAGGTGTGGCATGGAGAACAGTAGAGGAGGGCCCAAACTTCTCCTCTGCAGCTCCCTGTGGAGTCCCAGATTCCTGCCTGGTGCGTTCTTCAGAACACCGTCCTGGAATGCGTGTCTCACAAGATGGTGACAGCGACTGTCAGCCATGAACAGCTCAGATTATTCAAGCAGATTACCCCTGAATGAGGGAGTCAACACAGGACAGTTAGGTTTTGGTGGTTCTTAGAGATCCAGGTTAGGGTCACCAGCCGGATGAGGGGCTGCATTCCACTGCAGGATGTGGAGCTTACCAATGCCTCCTTTACTAAGACTTTCTTGGAAGGGCAGGAGCTGGGGGTAGCCAGTGACTTCAGAAGCCAAGTTCCGAGTGTCTTCCCATGTCAGGGGAGGCTGTCACTTTCCCAGTGCCCTTGAGTCAAATCTTTTCCTCCCTTCTTGATACCCCTGTTCTCACCTTCACAGGGCGGGGCTGGGGGTAGAGTGGGTCCTGGCAAGCCTTGGAAAACTTCCCCTTCCCATGCTCAAAAAATACCCTCCTCTGAGCTTGGTTTCTGCCACTTCTGCCCCCATGTCACTCCAGAACGGCTCTCAGTCCCAGCATTTACCATGAGCTCATGCTTCCTGCTGTGAAAGCCCCCTCAGGGTGGCCCCTCCAGGCTGGGAAGCTGTGGAATGCAATGACTTCATGACTGATCCTTGACTTGCTCTTTGTGCTCTCAGCCTATGCATTAGGCTGGGCTGTCAGAAGGGCCTTTCAGCAACAGAGAAGTGAAAGAGAACTTCCCTGTGTCCTCAGAATCCCCCACTTCTGAGGGTCTTGTTGAGTGAAGTACATCGTAGCCAACTCATAGGAAAACTCATTATTTTCCTATATCCCCTACTGCTGGGTGCTTGCAAAGCCCCCACTCAGATCCATGGGGCCCCCGGCAGTTTTCTCATTTGGAAGCTGGGAAACCAGGATAAGTGGGAATGGAATAAACCATTCAGTTGCTCTTGACCCCAGTGTTGAGGACTGGGCTCTGCTACCAAACTTGGCCTGGAGTGGTGGGAGTTCTGGGAACCTTATCAAGGCTCATCAACTGTGCCTCTATGCTACAGCCCTAATCTAGGCCAGGTCATTGGGGGAATGGTCTGTGATTGCGTTCCAGGAGAAAGAGTTGTAGGGTTTGAGGTCTGAAGTGAGGGTTGCAGTCTTGACTTTAACCAGCTATGTGACCTTAATCAACCCTTTTCACCACAATAGTATTGAATTTCCTCCTTTTGCAAATTGGATAGGCTGATATCTGACTCTCAGAGCTATGCAAGGGTAAAGTGAATCACTGATTTTTATGGGAATTTACAAACATCTCTTCCAACCCCACATTTTACAGCTGAGGAAATTGAAAGGAGAAAAGGAAAAGTAACTTGCCCAAGTTCAGGCGAGGATGAGACCTAAGTCTCCTTTGTTGCTGGGGGAGCCAGAGGGTAACAGCTTTGACACATCAAGTCCATGCTATTGCTGGGAGAGGCAGAGGATGGAGTTCAAGGCCAGGCTGCTGGGTTTCAGTCTCTACTTGGCTATGTCACCCTGTGAACAGTTTAAAACCTGCCTAATCTCTGGTTTTCCTCTCTTCATACTTCAAATAACAGTATCTACTTCATAAGACCATGGTCAGAATTAAAGAAAAAAGTCTTCCTAAGTTGTTTATAAAGTAGTAAGAGCTAGATAGATGTTACCTTTCACTGTTAATAACAGTAAGTAGCAGGTATCATAATCATGAGAGATAATATATGCAAAAGACCTCTGTAAATTGTATAGGATGTTACAAAAGGCAATTATGCTATTTTTGGAAAGCATCCAGTTGTGAACACCATTAACATCAGTCCAAAGATAGGAAGGGATACAGGGATTCTTTATCACCACATCTAGATTTGGGTTCTCTTTATTTGTGAAGGTACTAGCATTTTGAAACTGGCTGATTTGTATTTCTGAACTCCTTGGCTTTCCATCATTCCAACCTCTGTGAGCTCCATTTAACTCCATGTTGTTCTAGCCCTTTCTCTCCCTGGATGAGAGAATTCAGCTCCCCATAGATGATCCTGTGCTGTGAAGTTTGTGGCCCCATTGTTGAGTTCTAAGGATCAAGTTGAGAATGTGAGCATTTGGTGGCCTGTCTCCATGTCCTAGAGCCCATGGGTAAGCAGAAGAGCCATGTGACAGTTGTATTTGAAGGCCGATGGACTCTTGGCAGAGCATGCCAGGGTTTTGCCTGCCTCAACTTCAGAGTGACTTCTGTTTGCTCTTCTTTGACTTATTTAAAGTCCAGGAGAGTTTGATGCGAAGATAAGGGCTAGCCGCTGTCCCTCCTTCTAACTCTATGAGCTTAAATGGGCAGAGGAGCTCTGTCACTGGCCGATGGATCACCAGCAAGTGAAAGGGCACCTATAATCCAGAGAATGAGAACTAGCTGAGCGTTAATTTGGCTAGTGTCCTGAAATGGCTGTATGGATCTGCTGGACAAGATGTAGAACTGGCATAGCTAAAGATACAGATTCAGCACCTTGGTGGGCACAGCTCCTGTGTGAGGTAGAGGCTAAAGACACTGATGGTCAGAGAGAGGCTGTGGAACTGTTTACTTAGCTGGTAGATGTGGGAGGTTGTATATAAATCTGGCCTGGCAATACTTTAAGCTGATTTTTAGGCTTATGCCTGGAGCAGCATGGTCCTGAAAATGGACCCATTGCACCGTCATGTAGGTGAAGGCCCCAGTGTCTGTGTTTAGTTCTGCTCAGGCTCACAGGGCTGTGTGAAAAGAGAAAGCCTCCTGCATGCAAGTGAGTCGCTCACAGACTCCTTAAGGCCTTTTCTAGAACCCGGCTCCATGCTGGGGTAATACCTTGTCTCTGTTCAGGCCCGTTCATGTCTCCTGACCTATTTGGGAGAAAGCTTATAGGAATATGTCCCTGGCTAGGACTTGGTTTGCTGGGCACATTCCTGGTTTGTGCCTGTTTGTCTGAATTAGGACTTCAGCACTCTTGATAGTACTATGGTCATCTACTTAAGAAACACTCTGCTGACACTTCACACTTTTATTTGTAATTACATATTTGCTTAGCTTCCTAATGAATGACCAGCTCCCACAAGACCATAATCCCAGGAAGGCTGGAGCTGTACCTCTGTTTATGGTTGTGTCTCCGGGGCCTGGCCCAGGGCCCAGCGTATAGTGGTGCTCAACAGCTGTTTGTACCGATGAGGGGATCCAACTGGGCAGGTCTACCAGAGAGACAGCTGGGAGACATAACGACTAGAGGACAGCATCAGAGCTCATGGACATGGGTGCCAAGTCCAGTAACAGCCAGGTGTGGAGGGCCTCAGGGCAGAAGAACTGCATGAGCTGTGCCAGAGATGGAGATGTATTCATTTTCTAGGGCTGTATAACAAAGCATCATGCACTTGGAGATTCAAAACAACAGAAACTCTCTTACTATTCAGGAGGCTGGAAATCTAAAATCATGGTGTTGGCAAGGTTGTGTTCCCTTCAAAGCTCTAGGGAAGAATCCTTCCTTGCCTCTTCCAGCTTCTGATGGTCTCTGGCCATTCCTGGTGTTTGTTGGCATGCAGCCTCATCACTCTAGTCTTTGCCTCCATCTGCAGATGGTCTTCTCTTTCCATCTGTGTTCGTACCTCTGTGTCTTCTCTTGGTAGACACAAATCATTGGGTTTAGGACCCACTCTAATCCAGTGTGACTTCATCTTACTTAATTCCAAATAATTGCATATTCTGAGATTCCAGGTGGATATGAATTTTTGGTGGACACTACAGGAAGTTACAAAGGTGATGTTGGTAGGAGGCCAGCGTTTCCTGTGGCTAAGGTCATGCCATGGAAAGAACTCTGAACCAGATCAGAAAATCTTGAGATCTTTAGAAAATCTCTTCACTCCTCTGAGCCTAAACTTCTTCTTCTGTTCAAGGAGGACAGTGGCATCTGTCCTATACTACCCCCAGGATTACTGTGCAAATCAAATGAAATGACGGCTTGGAAAGTGACTGCAGGTCACTGTAAGGTTAGATATATAGTAAGCTGTGAGTCAACCATCACGTTCATGTTCATTAACATTGCCATGCTATCACTGGTTTTGACCTGACCACTTTGCTTCTGCTTTGCTAGGATCACTGCTTTTACCATGGGATGGTAAGGAAGGCAGAACAGTCCAGCGTCACACTCAGCACCTGCCGAGGAATTAGGTAAGAGACCTGGAAGTTGCAGGGGGTAAGGGGCATGGCATCTGGTGTTCTCCCTAGAAATGGAATTTTTAAGATAAGCAGGGCTGGCCTAAGGCAAAGACCTTGGGAAAGAGTCTAATGGCAGTGTGAGTGAGCTCAAGAGAGGCTAAGCCTGGGAAGGCAAGGAAAATCCTAGGTCATCCACAAATGTGTATTTAACTGGTCTGAGAAACTTGAGGTCTTGAAATACAGATTTAGTATTATTTAGGTTTGGTAAGGCCAGCAAGTGAGGATATGACTGCCAATGAAAAGCTGGTATGCTTGCAGAAGGAATAAGGTTGTGCTATGCCCTAGGGGTCAACGTGATGACGCACGAGGGTTGGACAGGAGGCAGAAGAAATAAGGAGAAAAGAACAAGAGCCTTGCTAAGGTTTCTGCAGGAAGAGCTGGTAGATGCACAAAAAGTAGTTTTAAGACTGGATAATTTGAGTAATCTTGGTGTGCTGTCTGTCCTTAATTGCCTGGTAGCTGTCCCTGGGGTGATTAGGGCAGGTGGACAGTGTCCCAGAAGGTGGGAATCCAATAAAGTAGTTGGCAAAGACATGGGCTGTGGATTGGTTGACTTGCATTTGCCAGGCACAGTACCTGGCGAGTTATTTACTAGCAGTTGGCCAATCCTAGGAGGGACAGTTCCTCCAGGGTCAGCAGGGCCAAAGATGTCAAATCAACAGGAAACAGAAAATAAGAGTCATGGTTAAAATGCTTGAAATTGGTGAGTTTGAGCATTTGTTCCTGCTTCTCCTTAGCTCTTTTCTGGTGGGTGTGCTTAAAGGTGGTGAAACAGGAAATGAGCGGTTACTGAAAAGACTGGGTGGGAAGAGAAAGGAGAGGCGAGGATTGTTTACAAGTCAGAAAATCAACTGGGAGGTTCCAGCCCGACAGCACTTTGGAAACGGGTAACTCCTCTTTCTCTGAGCCAGACCACTTGGGTTTGTACTGCAGTTTGGTCTCGATGGTGTTAGTTGTATACTATGGATGAAAAGAATGAATACCTGACATTGTAAAGGTTAAAGGTGTTAGTATAACACGTGACCATCAGGACTGTGCTAGCCCTTGGTCAGCACTCAGTAACCTCGTAGGTCATGGCTTCTCCAGGTATGGTCTACCAATGGGCAGCATCAGCCTCACCCTGGAGCTTTTTTTTTTTTTTTTTAAGGTTTATTTATTTTACGTGAAAGTCAAAGTTACACAGAGAGAGAAGGAGAGGCAGAGAGAGAGGTCTTCCATCTGGTGTTTCACTCCCCAATTGGCCACAACAGCTGGAATTGGGCTGATTTGAAGCCAGGAGCCAGGAGCTTCTTCCAGGTCTCCAATGCGGGTGCAGGGGCCCAAGGGTTTGGGCCATCTTCTACTGCTTTCCCAGGCCATATCAGAGAACTGAATCAGAAAAGGAACAGCCGGAACTAGAACTGGTGCCTATATGGGATGCTGGCACTGCAGGCGGCGGTTTTACCCACTATGCCACAGCACCAGCCCCAACGGGAGCTTTTTCAAAATGCAGGATCTCTTGGGGCCAGCACTGCACTGTAGCGGGTTAAGCTGCCGCCTGCGAAGCTGACATCCCATCTGGGTACCTGTTTGAGACCCGGCTGCTCCACTTCCAATCCAGTTCCCTGCTCATATCCTGGAAAAGCAGTAGAAGATGGCCCAAGTGCTTGAGCTCCTGTGCTCACATGGAAGATGCAGAAGAAGCTCCAGGCTCCTGACTTCGGCCTGGTAAAGCCCCAGCAGTTGAAGCCATTTTTTGTAGTGAACCAGCAGATGGAAGAATGATCTCTCTCTCCACCCCTCTGCCCACCGTAACTCTGCCTTTCTTTCTTTCTTTCTTTCTTCCTTTCTTTCTTTCTTTCTTTCTTTCTTTCTTTCTTTCTTTCTTTCTTTCTTTCTTTCTTTCTAGGCAGAGTAGACAGTGAGAGAGAGAGACAGATAGAGAAAGGTCTTCCTTTGCCATTGGTTCACCCTCCAATGGCTGCCACGGCCAGCGCACTGCCGCCGGCTCACCGCACTGATCTGAAGACAGGAGCCAGGTGCTTCTCCTGGTCTCCCATGCGGGTGCAGGGCCCAAGGACCTGGGCCATCCTCCACTGCACTCCTGGGCCACAGCAGAGAGCTGGTCTGGAAGAGGGGCAACCAGGACAGAATCTGGCGCCCCGACCAGGACTAGAACCCGGTGTGCCGGCGCCACAGGCGGAGGATTAGCCTATTAAGCTGCGGCACCGGCCTCTGCCTTTTAAATAAATAAAAAATACATTTTTTGAAATAATACAAAATAATAAAATGCAGTTTCTCAGCTGCCACCCAGACCAACCGAGTTATCATCTGTGTTTGGCCAGGATCGCCAGGTGCTTTCTGTACACATCACAGTTTGTACCTGAGAATGTGTTCCTTGAGAATATGAGTGAATCTCAAATATCTCCTTCTTTCCACCAGCCTGCCCTGCTGCCATAGTGCCTTGAAGACCCTGTTCCGGCAGTAGATAGCAGTTACTCAGACTCTTCCTCCCCATCCTCTTTTCTTTGTTTGAAAAGGAACAATGAGCTGAAGCAACTGGATTCTAATTGCCTATGCCAACGCTTGTTTTTTTAAATAAGTGTTATTTATTTATTTATTTATTTGAGAGGCAAAGTTACAGAGAAAGAGGAGAGAGAGAGAGAGAGAGAGAGAGAGAGAGAGAAAGAGAATCTTCCATCTGCTGGTTCACTCCCCAAATGGCCACAATGGCTAGGGCTAGGCAAGGCCAAAACCAGGAGCCAGGAGCTTCATCCAGGTCTCTCACATGAGTGCAGGGGCCCACGGACTCGGACCGTCTTCCACTGCTTTCTCAGGCCATTAGCAGGGAGCTGGGTTGGAAGCAGAGATGCTGAGACGAACTGGTGTCCATATGGGAAGCCAGCACTGCAGACGGCAGCTTGGCTTGCTGCACCACAGCTCTGGCCCCACTGCTTTGGTTTTGATTGCCTGTGTTAAGTAATGCCTATACTCAGTGAGCTGACAAACTGGTTCTATGAAGAAAAAAAAAAAAGCTCTGGTTTTTAATACATGTTCCAGTTTGCTGGTAAAGACACTCCCACCCTGACTGATTGCAGGTTACCTGTGTGCTGTTATTGAGCAAACTGGGAACAGATGCCCACGATGGGTTCTTGTGAGCTGGTGGAAGTACCCTGTGCCTGTGTACCTGTCCTTTCGTGACTGATTGGTTCATTTAATGGTTGCTTGTTTCATTCAGCAAATTAATTCTGGGTACATACCATGTACCCTACATAGGTGGAGGAAAGACAGGCATTGTAAAGTAATTCTTGGAGCCATGAGTCCTCATATGCGAAATGAGCATGAGTGATCGGCATGGTAGAGACGGTTAAGTGTCTTGTTAACTCAACAGCAGTCTGCAGACATATGGAATTCTTATCATCTTGTGACACTGAAACCAGGCTCACAATACTTACTCAGACTGCCTTACAAATCAAAAGCCCCTGCTGCTGCAGACCTCATGTGTCTGTTTCTGAAATGAGTCCAGGCTGCCTGGTGAGTTGGCCAGAGGGGATTAGGCAGGAGACAGGCCTTGGCTAGGAAGCGATAACAGAGTGGCCCTAAAGCTTCTGCTCAAGGGACTGGCTGAGCTAAGCCAGCTGGCCCCGCGGTGTTTACAGGCCCAGCCGCCAGCACCTGCAGTCTGTAAGTAAACAAAAGTTGGTCCCAAGAAGGAAGAAAGGGGACACGCAGGTGTGACCTGCTTCTCTTGGCCTCTCCCTCTGTCTAGTCCGTCTGAATCAGTGGGAACTTGGCTTGGCCTCTCGCAAATCATTCCAGCAGCCATGCCGACATGGGGAGATCAGGCGAGCTGTCCATGTGTTTCTGTTTTGCGTGCTCCCGTCTGGTGGGGTCCACCCTCCGTACTTTCCCAGCCGTCTCCCGGTGCACCTTAAGCCACCAAGGCTGTGGGGTCGGACTGATTTAAAAGCTGAAGCTTCGTGCCAGATGGCTGCAGCGGGATCCTGGAGGAGGAGCAGCTGCAAGAGCAGCAGTGTTCATGCCCATGGTATTCAAACTCAGTCATTTCCCAAGGCTCATGAAGCCAAAATGCCTTGTAGAATCTCCATAGCTATTGTTCTTTCCTCCTTGTGAAAATGGATGGGATTTATACAGGTGAGATCTTCCAGCTGATGATACAAAGACAGAGGAATTCAGCTGAGTTTTGAGATGGTTCCTGGGCCGTTTCTTCTTTCTAGCTCAGTTCTTTTGTCCAGTGGAGTTGAAGAGGTAATTCATGATGGTAGTTAAAATAAATTCAAATGGTACAAAAGACTGAACAATGAAAGACAAGTCTCTTACCCCAGATTTCCAGGTTTCTTCCTTCCCAGAGGCTGCCATCATTACCAGTTTCTCATATATCCCTTTAGACATAATCCTTGCAAAAAAACCCCACCCAAAATCCTTGCCAAAAAACCCCCCACAGATATGTTGTATAATGCCTTGTCATCTTTTTTGGGCACCAGGACCTTAGAGAATTGAGTGAAAGCTCTGCATATGTATGAACTACACCAGTGAAAGATGTACATACCATCTCGTTGAGGGATGTCAAGTCTCAGAGGAAGGACCTGTCCTCTAAATTTTTGCATGACTTCTTGCATGCACAAATGCCTTGCAGACTCACACACAGTATCGGCATCAGGAGTGGTTATTATTGTTGAAGAAATCTGGACAGTGCTGGACTGTGGTTTCTAGGAAACAGTGTGTGTCCACAGCTCACTGTCCATTGGCAGGATGGGCACTTGATTGGTAAGCTACTTAAATGCTTACTAAAAATTATCACTACATAACTACTACAGAATTAACTGTTAAAGATTCTCATCATACTGGGCCATATAAACCAGCAAAAATCAAAGTTCTTCATGCTTTCACATATTCATAATCAATCCCATTCCCCATCTATAATCATATAGTTGAAATACATAATCATATAG